ATATGGAGGGGATAATAATCAATGTAATGAAACAAGCTATATGAATGGTTGAATGTGAAGCTGATGATGTGCCCTGTAAACTTTCACTCAATCCAAAATTAAAAATTAAAAAAATTATAACAATTTACCATTGTCGGCATTTATCTTTTTCATCTAAGTAATTGAATTTGTTGATATACAAATGCTCATGTTGTTAGATACTGTTGAGTCAGTTCCAACTCACAGCATCCCTGTGTATAACAGTATGAAACATTGACTGGTCCTATGCCAGCCTCACAATAGTTGGTATCATTTGAGCCATTGTTTCAGCCATCTCATTGATAGTTTTGCTCATTTCCGTCAACCCTCTACTTTACCAAGCATGATGTACTTCTCCAGGGATTGGTCCCTCCTGATAAAGCATCCAAAGTAAGCAAGACAGTGTCTCACTGTCCTGGCTTCTAAGGAGTATTCTGGCTGTACTTCTTCCACACACATTTGTTCATTCTTCTGGCAGTCCATGGTATATTCAATATTCTTCACCAACACCAACATTCAAATACATCAGTTCTTTTATCTTCCTTATTCATTGTCCAGCTTTTGCATGTATGTTGTTGTTGTTACATGCTGTTGAGTTGGTTCTGACTTTTATAGGATTTCTGACCCTGTATAGGATTTCCAAGGAGCGGCTGGTGGATTTGAAACCCCAACCTTTGGTTAGCTGTCTAGTGCTTATCTTACTGAGCCACACCAGGACCATTGTTGTTAAGTGCTGTTGACTCGGTTATATCCATAGAGATCCTAAATAGTGTTTCCAGGGAGGAACTGATGAATTTGAACCGCCAACCTTGTGATTTAAACAGATATTGCGGTCAGTGCTTGATCCCACAGTGCCACACCAGGACTATTAGGTGACTCAAAATGCCATTGCTTGCGTCATGTGAATTTTAGCCATCAGAATGACATTTTTGCTTTTTAATATTTTTTAAAAAGGTCTTTTGCAGCAGATTTGCCCAGTACAGTACGTTGTTTGATTTCTTGAATGCTGCTTCCATGAACATTGGTTGTGAATCCAAGTAGAATGAAATCGTTGACAACTTCAGTCTGTCCTCTGTTAATTACGATATTGTTTATTGGTTCAGTGGTGAGGATTTTTGTTTTCTTTACATTGAGTTTTAATCCTTACTGAAGGCTGTATGATTTGTTCTCCATCAGTATGTGCTTCAAGTCCATTTCACTCTCATAAATCTGGTATTTGTCATCTGCATATCACAGGTGGTTAATGAGTCTTCTTACGGTCCTGGTGTCGTGCTTCTCATTGTAGTTCAGCTTCTCAGATTATCTGCTCAGCCTACAGATTGACTAAGTGTGGTGAAAGGATACAGCCTTGACAATGTAAACAACATACTATCCCCTAGTCCTATTCAAATGGCTGGCTGGTCTATGTACCGGCTCCATACGAGGACAGTGAAGTTTTCTGGAATTCCCATTTTCCCAATGTTATCCATAATTTATTATAGTCAATAGAACACAAGTAGCCATCTTTCTGGTATTCTCTGCTTTCTGCCAAGATCCATCTGACATCAGCAATGATATCTCTTGTTCCATTACTGATGTTATTTGCAACTATTCATAGTATTCTCTTATAATCCTTTTTCTTTCTCTAGGGTTGGTGTAATGTCCCTTTTTAATTTCTGATTTTAGTCATTTGAATCTTTTTCTTTTCCTTCATCTAAAGATCTGTCAATGTCAATTTTGTTGATCTTTTCAAAAAGCCAACTTTTGGTTTTATTGATTGTCTCTATTGCTTTTCTGGAGTTCTGGTGTGGTGCTGTGGGATCATGCCTGGATTGTACGGTTGGTTTGAACCACAAGGTCAATGGTTCAAATTCATCAGCTGCTCCTCGGAAACCCTACACAGGGTCACTGTGAGTCAGAACCAACTTGATGGCACTTAACAACAGCTTTTCTGTTCTCTGTTTCATTAATTCCCTCTGAATCTTTATTATGGGAGTACAATGGCTCCATACGATAAGCACGGGACTGTGAACCAAGAGACCCATGGTGTGAGTGTCCTACCTGCTCTGCAGGAGAAAGGTGAGGCTTCTGCTTCCGAGACGATTTAAAGCCTTGGAAACCCTATACAGGCTCTTTATGAGTTGGAACTGACTCATCAGCACTTAATAACAACAGCAATAACAATCTATTAGTTCCTTTCTTTTCCTTGCTTTGGGTTTAGTTTTCTCTTTTTCAGGTTTCTTAAGGTAGAAGGGTAGATTATTAGTTTGAAGAGACTTGCTATAGTACAGTCCTTAAATTTTTGCCAGATGACTAAGCAGAAATACAGTTGTAGGGAAAATGAGCTTTTGGGAATTTTTTTTAGGAAAAAACACTATTTGTTGAGCTAGATATTCAAAACAGAACATGAATCAATAATATTGTGCTGTCATTTGAAAAATCAGAACAGATTCAAGTGCACGAATAAAACCTGTAGGAAATTCTCATTCTTGATACTTGTCAAATTTTAGAGTGCTTTGTTCACTATCAGGGGTTCAGATAAATTACATTTTAATATAAAGTTTATTTGGCTATTGTAACCTCAAATTCAAAACTTGGCACAATCATTTTTTATAGCTAGTTACCATCACCATCTATGATAACTCTCAGAACTCAACATAGCCAACTCCTTTAGAATACTGCAGTTGTTGTACAAACAAAGTCAGTTGGATGTGAGTATTCCTCAAAATGTGTTCTCTGAAATGTTCCCATATGCCATCTTTGTTGACATTTAGTGCAGTGCATTCGGTAACTCCTATTTTCTTCATTCTTTAATGTCCACTGTATCTTTTAAACTCTTATTTATTTGGCTAGAGTTTCAGTGGTCCATTATATCTTTACCTTGAACATAGCTGATATGATGGGTACTTCATTTCCTCCTCACACCTGGTTTTGCTGTACATAACTTTTTCTTTGGCCAACACCAACAATTTCCCACATTAACTAGGTCACTACTCTGGCATCTGAACATGCACTGTGAAACTCCCATTTTATTTTGTAATTTAAATCCTCCTCTATTTAGATAGATTACTTTAGTAATAAATACTTTTTTATAATATCCAAATTGTACATTTGTACAAAAAAAATTACTTCTATAAAAGCATTGTCGCTTCTGCAAATTTTTGCAGTCTTGTTACGGTTAAATGACTTAAACAAAATAAATTAAGAAGACAAGAAAAAGCTACTAAAATGATTATATGGCCTTTGTAAGTCTGACTGAATTGAAGAAACTAATTATTTAGACAGAAGAAAGTTGAGGGAACACCTAATAGGTGAAAGTTGGGCTTCAGAAACTGGTGGCTAGCTGCTTTCCTTCTCAAGGAAGGTGACCAAGAGTGAACTTTGGATGCAACATAAAAATGTTAGCTTAGACATCTTCTCTATCATGAGGACAACTGAATGACTTGCCAGGAAATTGTGAAATTCTCTCTAAAGATATGATGTACACTTCCTCATCTGGATTTGTTTAGGTGTGGTCCTGGTTACAAACAAAGGGAAGGGTCAGATAGCTTCATGCTTTTCCTACTTAATATACTAAATAGATTCTTGATTAGGAGACGGAAAAATGAGCAAGATACATACAGCCCAGTATCCTAACAAGAGTCAGCCTAAGGAGATTGTTTTGAAAGCGTCTGCTTTGGGTTGAAGTCTTTAGTACTTCTCCAAGTGAAAAATGTAGTACTTATATAAAGTGAACATTTCTGGTGCCTGGATCTCATTGAGTAGAAGAAGGATATGGAGTCAAGTAGCCCATACTTCATGTGAAAATCACCAATGAGCTCCTCCTTGCTCGGCTTTCTGTTTAGACTGTTCTGGACTATATCAAATTAGTTTCAGTGGCTTGATTAGAGGTCAAGATTCTGGCAACAGATGTAGTCTCATTTTGTTTTCTTCAATCTCTTTCTCTTTCTCTCCCTTAGGCTGAGGGTAAAAAGCTGGGACTGGTAGGCTGGGTCCAGAACACTGACCGGGGCACAGTGCAAGGACAATTGCAAGGTCCCACCTCCAAAGTTCGCCATATGCAGGAATGGCTTGAGACAAGAGGAAGTCCCAAATCGCACATCGACAGAGCAAACTTCAGCAATGAGAAAGTCATCTTAAAATTGGATTTTCCAGACTTCCAGATTTTAAAATAACAGCCTTAATTTAAATGTTCTGATATTACTCGGTGATTTTGTTTTTTATTGTTAATAGAGAACTCTTCTGTGTTCAATATTAGAATTTATCAATCAGGTATTGTAGTATCAGATAATTTGAATGGTACTATGTATTACATGGAGTCCTGGTGTGGTGCTGTGGGTTAATGGGCTGGACTGCAAAGTCGGTTTGAACTGCAAGGTAGGTGGTTCAAGCTCACCAGCCGCTCCTAGGAAATCCTATACAGGGTCACTATGGGTCGGAACTGACTTGACAGCCCAGCAGCAACAAATATATTACCTACATGTATGATGGAGTCTACCCATACACACATGTATTACCTACATGTATGATGGATTCTACCCATACACACATGTATTACCTACATGTATGATGGATTCTACCCATACACACATGTATGGCAGATTATACTATACATATAATTCTAATCAACAAATATATTACCTACATGTATGATGGATTCTACCCATACACACATATATTACCTAAATGCATGATGGATTCTACCCATACACACATGTATTACCTGCATGTATGATGGAGTCTACCCATACACACATGTATTACCTACATGTATGATGGATTCTACCCATACACACATGTATTACCTACATGTATGATGGGTTCTACCCATACACACGTATTATCTACATGTATGATGGATTCTACCCCCACACACATATATTACCTACATGTATGATGGATTCTACCCACACACACATGTATGACGGATTAGACTATACATATAATTCTAATAAACAAATATATTACCTACATTATGATGGATTCTACCCATACACACATATATTACCTACATGTATGATGGATTCTACCCATACACACATATATTACCTACATATATGATGGATTCTACTCATACACACATGATTACCTACATGTATGATGGATTCTACCCATACACACATGTATGATGGATTCGACTATACACATAATTCTAATCAACAAATATATTACCTACATGTATGATGGGTTATACCCATACACAAATATATTACCTACATGTGTGATGGAGTCTACCCATACACACATGTATTACCTACATGTATGATGGATTCTACCCATACACACATATGTTACCTACACGTATGATGGATTATACCCATACACACATATATTACCTACATGTATTATGGATTCTACCCATACACACATATATTAACTACATGTATGATGGATTATACCCATACACACATGTATGATGGATTAGACTATACACATAATTCTAATGAATATATTATCTACATGTATGATGGATTATACCCATACACAAATATATTGCATACATGTATGATGGATTCTACCCATACACACATGTATGATGGATTAGACGATACACATAATTCTAATCAACAAATATATTACATACATGTATAATGGATTATACCCATACACAAATATATTACATACATGTATGATGGATTATACCCATATACATAATTCTAATTGACAAACACATGAAACCTGTTTAGGGTACTTACTTCCTTCATATCTCTTTTGGACAAAATAAGAGATGCTTATTCAGTAAACATCTATGGAAAGAGTATTTGAGGTAACTTAAAGCAATCTGAAGGAAAAGAGAAAGCATTTACTTTGAATTAAATGATTTCCAGGTAGTTTTCTTCAGGAAATTTCATTTCTAGAAAAAACAAATGTCACAAGTTCAATTAGATAGCTGCTCAAATTATGTTTTAAACTAATTGCTTTTGACTTTCTGGAGATACTGCTGGTATTATTTTCCTCCAAGTCAGGAATTTATATAAAATATAAATTTATTTATATATTATTATTTATATAATAATCAGGATTTTGCCTCATCAGCCTAGATGATTTGGTTTGTTTATATTTAAATAAGCATATATCAGATGTTTATGGACCTAACAAGTTTGTCTCCCATCTATGTGGTGTAGTGCTATAGGATAAGCACTGGCCTGCAAACCACAAGGTTGGTAGTTCAAGCCCACCAGTCGCTCCTTGGAAACCCCGTACAAGGTCACTATGAGTCAGAACTGACTTACCAACAGCAACAACATCTTAAAAAATAAAGTTTTGTGAAAACAAAAAAATACAGAAAGCAAAAACTGAGGACTACTTAACAATTCAAAACACCTTTTCTCCCACTCTTCTTGGAGTTCCACTCCTCATTCAGTCAGAAACTAACTGCAGCAGCATTGGGACGACAACAAGGAGTCAATGGTATGTCTGTACATTAAGAGAGTTGAGCTAGACAGCTTCCCAGTCCACTCCCAGCTCTGACAAGCTCATCATTCTGGAAGATGAGAGTCAGCATTTATTCACTGATTCACTGAGTGCCCACCACATGCCATGCGGATACAGCAGTAAACAATACACACATGGGCAAAACCTTCAGGTAGTTTGTTGGGAACAAGGTTATGGGAAAAGATAAACAATAAACAAAAATGTAAAAAATATATATTGGTTTAAATGGTAGTTTACACTTGACTGCTGCTCACCAGAAGCCTGGAGCAGTCCACTGAAAACGATGGAGCACAGTTCTCTGGCACAGTTGGGGTCGCCATGAGTCAGATTCTACTCTCTGGTAAACGTGCAAAGAAGAAAAAACGGGAGGGAAAAGGAAAATCATAGGAAAAGCAAAAGTAGGAACTACTGCGTGCCCATCAGTTGCTTCTGACTCTTATTTCTGAGGCTGTAAACGTTTACAGGAACAGAAAGCCTCATCACTGCTGACCTTGAGTTAAGCAGCTCAACACATAACCCACTTCACTCTTCAGGAAATAACAGAAACGGCCTTTCCTACCAAGACTAAAGGGCATAAAGAGTCCGGTGGAGAAGGTATGAGAGGAGGATACGAAAGTGAAGAGACCCTGAAATGGGGGAAGCTGTCAATTTGCTAGTATCTGTTGCGCATGCTCACTGAGGTGTCGCGACGAAAGGGTTCTCAGCGAGTCGCCTGGAAAGCGCATGCTCGTGGGTACGCGCGTGCACGTGCCTCGAGAGTCAGCTTGCGCACGTCCGGCGTTGAAGGCGGTTGGTATTGGGCATTGGTGAAACTAGATTCGAGGTGACTGGGGCAAGCACGCGCCGAAAGATGGTTCCGGGAGCCCTTCTAGTCCGAAAGGGCTGTAGTAATTGCTGCGGGCCGGCTTTTCGGACCCAGATGCGCTCCGGCCCGAGAGGACTCCGGTCCCTTCTTGCGCGCAGGCGCTTACGTCAGGGCAGGCCTGTATTTCCATCAGCGGGCTCAGGGGTTGAGACCCGGTGAGACTGGAGTCTGCCCTCCAGGCCGCTGGGCCTGCTGTTTCCTAGAGATCTTTTTATCTCTGGACCTAATTTGCTCAGAGCTTATATTAAACCCTTACCCCTCATTTGCTGCCAGCTGCATCATTCATTATTTTAGAAATCATTAGAAGATTTGGAATTACAGCCCTGATTTCCCCGAGTTTGAAAAGCCAGCCCCATCACCTGCGAGACACCTTTAATTAGAATCTTGGTAGTTGTTTTTTCCCACCTGCAAGACGCCTTAAAATTAAGTTCAGATAGCTTCTCGATTGGATTGCCAATGTAATTTGTGGCCATGGGAGTAACTGTAAAGACCAAAAGAGTATTTATTATTAATATGGTTTTATTCTAAAATTACCACAAAACGTTTTATCAAACTAATACGTGGGGGCTTCAAAAAGTTTGTGGAAAAATGGAATTAAAAGATAGTGGAATTTTCCCACAAACATTTGAAGTCCTCTTGTACACAGAGAAGATTTAAAAAATCAATTGGTTTAGAAAGGTTTATAATGAAAAATTCCCTACATCATCCCTTTCCATTGTCTTCCTAGTCCCAGCTCGTCCTCCTTTGGCAACAACGTTTAAACAGTAAAAATAATCTGCTTTCAAAATAGTCTCTTACTATCCATCTCTCTCTGATACAATTGGATTTGCCCTGTTACTTCACCTTTAATTACAATGCCTACCACTTCATCGTAAGTGTTTTCTACAAGTCATGGTTATTGTGTAATGTATAAATGTTATGAAACTAGCTTGGAAGTCTGTTTTTGTGTGTGTGTTTGTTTTTTTTTTTCAATGAATAATTTCTAGCTAATATTCCTTAGCTGAATTTAGTTTAGGCATCTGTTTTTGGTGAACTGGTTACAATTTTTAATATTGCCTTTATGGGTCAACGTCAAATATGATTATGATTTTACTTCAGGGCATGTGGGGTTTAGAAAGGAGCAGTGAAAATTAAGAAATTATGAACTCTGCTTTCTTTGGAGGTTAAATCCATTGCAACAAGCGTGAGTTGTGTGATCTGCCTAGAGATCAGAACTACACATTTCCTTTTGTTTGTTTTACAATTTGCTTTGTTTAATGAAAGACATTTATTTCATTTATCTCAGATGATATTTCTTTATAATGCTTGAGAAAAATGGGCAGTGCTGTGAAACTCTGAGGCTTTGATTGTGTTTTTCTTCCCATAGGCAATTATTTCCAGTCAGAAAAGGAACCCAAAATCTGGCAGTCTCACCAACTTTCTACCTGCCATGATCAAGTGCTTGTCAGATGACGTGCGAGCCAAATTGCGTTCTGGTTTGGCCATATGCTCCTTAGGCCAATGTGTTGAGGAACTTGCCCTCAACAGTATTGATGCTGAAGCAAAATGTGTGGCTGTCAGAGTGAATATGGAAATCTTCCAAGTTCAAGTGGTAGACAATGGCTTCGGGATGGGGAGTGATGATGTAGACAAGGTAGGAAATCGTTACTTCACTAGTAAATGCAACTCTGTACAGGACTTGGAAAACCCAAAGTTTTATGGTTTCCGAGGGGAGGCCTTGGCAAGTGTAGCTGACATGGCCAGTGCTGTGGAAATTTCATCCAGGAAAAACAGGACAATGAAAACTTTCGTGAAACTGTTTCAGAATGGAAAAGCCTTGGCAGCTTGTGAAGCTGACTTGACTAGACCAACTGCCGGGACAACAGTGACGGTATATAACTTATTTTACCATTTACCTGTGCGGAGGAAATGCATGGATCCCAGACTGGAGTTTGAGAAGGTTAGGCAGCGGATAGAAGCTCTCTCACTCATGCATCCTTCCATTTCTTTCTCTTTGAGAAATGATGTTTCTGGTTCCATGGTTCTTCAGCTCCCTAAAACCAAAGACATATGTTCCCGATTTTGTCAAATTTATGGACTGGGTAGGTCCCAAAAGCTAAGAGAAATGAAATTTAAATATAAGGAGTTTGAACTTAGTGGGTATATCAGCTCTGAACCACATTATAATAAGAATATGCAGTTTTTGTTTGTGAACAAAAGACTAGTTTTAAGGACGAAGGTGCATCAACTCATTGACTTTTTATTAAGGAAAGAAAGTATTATATGTAAGCCAAAGAATGGTTCTGCCAGTAGGCAGATGAGTTCAAATCCTCGCCATCGGTGTAACTCAGAACTTCATGGGATATACATAATCAACCTACAGTGCCAATTCTGTGAGTATGATGTGTGCCTGGAGCCAGCAAAAACATTAATTGAGTTTCAGAACTGGGATACTCTCTTGATTTGTGTTCAAGAAGGAGTGAAAATGTTTTTAAAGCAAGAGAAATTATTTGTGGAATTATCAGGTGAGGACATAAAGGAATTTAGTGAAGATAGTGGTTTGAGTTTATTTGGTACTACTCTTCAGAAGCACGTGTCCTCTGATGAAAAGTGTGACCAGGTTAGTTTCCAGGACGCATGTAATAATCTTTTGGATTCCTATGAAATGTTTAACTTGCAATCAAAAGCTGTGAAAAGAAAAACTACTGTGGAAAACATAAACACAGAGAATTCTCGGAGCTCAGAAGCTATAAAAAAGACAAGTGATTCAATTTTGCCCACCTATGAACCAGATGGCCCAGGCACTAGTAAAATTATGGAGTCATCTTTACAAAAGAAAGGTTGCTCTTGCTCAGAGTCAAGGATCTTAGAACAAGAGACAGTTGAAGCATCAGAACCAGAACAAAAGGAGAAACCTAACAAAACTTGCTCAGAACGTAACTCTCCAGAAAATCCACATGAAACCAGTTCTGAAATATTTGCAAGTCCTTTTCAGGCACCATATCACTTTGCGGATAGTGAAGAAGACCTAGAAATAGACAAAAATGTAAGTACCACTGTTAATGGTATGACTGCCAACACCCTGAAAAACAATGTAATTCAGAATCAACTAGAGAGATTTAAAGATGCTACTGAAATGGAAGGCCAGCCTCTGCCTGTTGAGACAATAGTACTGAGTTCACATGGTACTCTGGGAGGAGAAGAGAAAAGAGAAACAGAGCCTAGTAATTGTGGAAGCAAAAACGTTTTTAGTTATGGACAAGTTAAATTATGTTCCACTGGCTTTATAACTCATGTAGTACAAAATGAGCAAACTAAATCAACTGAAACACAACATTCATTTAAAAATTGTGTTCGACCTGGTACTGTGAGTGCCAAAGAAACATTTGGAAGTAGAACACTCCGTTTAGTTGAGACTCCAAATAGTAAAGTCTTAACCAGTACATTAAGTAAAGCATCTGTTCAACTGCCCAGCAAAGTATCTTGCAGAACAAATATAAGTTATGGGCTAGAGAATAAACCTATAGGAACTTATAAAAATTGTGCAGTTTTTCAGGAAAGTAGTAAAAAAACACACACAAGTTGCAAACTACCTGATACCTCTTTTAATTGGTATAGACATGTTTCAGATGGTAGTAAGAAAAAAAATCAATTCACTGTGTCCTCCAAACCCATAGCCTGGAAGAAGCTAAGCTTGAGTTCAAAACTAGGATCTTTAGAGAAGTTTAAGAGGCAATATGGGAAGGTGAAAAGTCCTCTGAATACAAAAGTGGAGGAAAATAATAATTTTGAAATCACAACTGATCTCAGTCTTCCAGTTGAGCCTGACATTCCATTGAAAGTCAAGAACCACTTAGAGAACCCTGAAACTTGTAATGATTCAAATAGTGGTTGTCAACCAGCAAGTCACATCCTTTACTCAGATATGTTTCCGTTCTCCACAGACGAAGACTGTTTGGAACCAGAGGCACATTGTTTGAGAGAAAGTCCTGTAACTTTAAAGGAGTTACCTAACTTCAACAGAAAGCCCTTGGATATTGAGAAGTCACCTGGGTCACTAGCCTCTAAATTGTCCAGAATGAAGGGTTCTGAAAGAGAGACTCAAATGCTGGAGATTATGAATAATTTTAATGAACTTCCACAATCAGATGCCAGTAGAAAAGATAAATTAACCCTAAATCCCTGCAAATTATTTAAAAATGAGCATAAAAAAACAGAAAGTGACATCCCATTGTCAGATTTTGCCACACATGATAAGTCCTTCAATAAAGACACATCTGACAAGACAACAGGGAGCTGTATGGTACCAGAAACACCTTTGTTATTAGCCTCACTTAATTCTAAAGTTATCAGTACAGTTTCAGGTGATCTTACATCTTCAGAACCACAGGTTGAAAATACTGAATCTTCCGGTAGACGGTTAATGAGTTATATAAAAGATTCCACAGCTGACCAAAATGAAACTTGCTTTCTGAATGAGGACTCTAAAGCACAAACTTGTTTCGAAGATGAAGAATCAAGCACATGTTCTTTGGGTTGGCAGCAGCATTTTGATGTAGCCCTGGGAAGAATGGTTTATGTCAACAAAATAACTGGGCTTAGCACATTCGTGGCTCCTCCTAAGGACATTCAGACTGCTTGTTCTAAAGATCTGACAACAGTGGCTGTGGATGTCGTTCTTGAAAATGGTAAGTGTATAATGTTTACTGGCATGAATTGATTTTGAAGATGGGAATAAAATGGTCAAGAAGTAAAATAATCATTGTTCAAAAAGACTATCTCAGTAGATGGAATATTTTGAAGGTGAACTATAAAATATAGTATTTTTAATAAGATCCCAAACTTACAGCAATACAATGAAAGACTGGTATAGGGTGTACATGTATGTATATGCATGTGTTTAAGAGAGGATGAGAAATAAAATTTTAATGAAAATGGTACTGTTAATAGATGGGAAGAGCCACAATGCTTCCTAACTCTTTTTGCCCCCAACCCCCTCCCGAATACATATATAGAGTCTTCTAGGAATTTGTCTTTAAAGGCACCTGTAATAGCAGTGTGATATTTTTCTGGAAGTTGCCCTCTGTTTTTACTAGATAGGAACAGAATGATGCTGCTGTTATCCTAGGTTTTCCTGGTAGAATCTATTACTCAAGATGGTAGTATGTTTATTAATTTCTTCCCCCAGAAAGGTGGACTTAACCAAAAAATTTTGGGGGGAGGGAATGAAGGTTGTCTGTACTTTTATAACGATACCTTCTAATGTGCTGTATACACATGTGCTAATCCGCTTGATCTGCTTATGGTGGTGGTGGTGGTAAGTGCCTTAAAGTTGGGTCAGACTCATAGCAACTCTGTATTGGGTTTGAACCACTGACTTTGCAGTTAGCAGTCCAGTGCTGATCCTACAGTGCCACGCCGGGACTTGTATAAGTGGCTATTTATGAAGATGATAATGAGGATTTTAGATCACACCAGGCGTAGTGGTTACGAATTGGGCTGCGAGCCACAAGGTCAGCAGTTCAAAACTACCTGCTGTTCTGCAGGAGAAAGATGAGGCGGTCTACTCCCGTAAAGATTTACAGCCTCGGAAACGCTATGAGTCCGAACCGACTCCACAGCACATAACAATAGTCTATGTTTGAGCCTGGATTTGGGCTCTGAGTTCTCAGGTCTTAGTGTTAAAAGTGTCATGGTTCTGGCAATGTGTTGAGAACCAGATGTTGGGAGATGGTAAAGCTGATTTCCATATGACCTGTAATCTTGGTTTTGCACCAGGAGGGTAAACATTAAATGTGCATCCATATTAAGAGGCTTGTAAGCTGCCTGCAAAAAATACACATTGTGTGAATGTTATTGCAAATCAATTTATAATTTCTCCTTAGAATGACTCTCTAGCAGGAGGTTGTGAGTTATTTCAAGATAAATAAGACCTTTACTTTTCAATATGTTTTTCAGTTTTTTCCTTGAGAAAAAAAATAATCACTGTAGTAACTTTCGAAGTAGTAAATAGAAGGCGAAAGCTCCCTCCCCCCTTTTGTTTTTAAATACTGCTCTTGAGACTGTGAGACTATCAGCTTGCTTTTTTTCTTTTACAAGTAAATATTAGTTTTAATTATTTTCATTTATTTATTTCATTTTTCAAAAATTTATTTCATTTTTAACTGACAGTATAAACGTTTTTAATGTCTTGACAAACTTTTTAAAGATTATTAAATGGTAATTTTTCTGATTTTTATTTTAACTTTTTATTATGAATTGAGTGAAGGTTAACAGACAAGATCATCAGCTTTACCCTCAACCAGTCATACATTTTACTTCATCTCAATGGTGATAATCCCCTCCTTGCAACAACAGCTATCTTGCTTCATCTGTTCCATATCTTATTTTTCCCAAATCAATTAAGCAAAAATATTTGATGTACACATACAAAACAAAAAGTATATATACATTTGAATGTCCAAAGAGGACATTTTGCAAGCTGAGAGTCCATAGCTGCTCTCTCTGTCTCCATGCCATTGTTTCTGCCATCGGGTCTGCCATCACCGCTCCCCTAGGTTGGATCGCACACTCCTCTCATGCTCTTCTTTCCTGATGGTCCTGCGGTCCTCTCTTCTATCAGGTTGCTTTTAAAGACACATGTGCTTTTCAGCCTATATAGTTTTCGGTCTTGATGTATCCTAAATGCTTATCAGAAGTGAATCTAAGAAGCTGGCACTTCATCTTCCTGAGGTGCAACTGCTTCTAGTATAGTCCCAGAAATAACTGGATTACATTACACGCTGCAATGGTTGTTGGTAAAACAAAGGAAGACATATTGGCTGTCACACTCAACGTAAACATCTGCTCCTGTTCAATGAATCTAGATGTTGATTCATACTTCAATTTCCTTAATTTTGTGGATTAGCAAGTCTTGTAGTGAACTTTTGAGGGTCATGTTAACTCTTAGTTTCTGGTACAGAAACAAATTTCTTGAAGAGATGCAGATGGCATGGTGTTTTTCAGGCAAAGGCTGATGTATAGCAGGACATTAGGACACTGTTGAACCATACATCAAGGAATTGCTAAGAGGTAAATTCTACTGTACAGGAAAAGAAGCTTTAAAAAGGTAATTTGAAGGAGTAATGCTAGGTCCCCAAACACTGGCAGGGTTTTCTTCAGAAGATGTTAGCTCAATATACAGTAATATATATTGTAATATCAACAGTGACAGACACACTTTATTTTGCCTCACATTTTAATTTTATCACTCCAAAATGTTGTTTTACAACTATTCAAAAGCTGTCAAATTGAGTATTGTGTCTAAAACTCTAATCTGATCATCTTCAGAGAGAAGGGTAGATTGGGGCCAGATTTTACCAGACTGACATTTGAATTGAGAACCTTTATTCATCTATTAGTTCCACACGTACTAAGAGCTCACCCTGCATGAGGTGCTGCCACAGTGTAGATTGCCTGGCTGCTCTAGGAGTTCACAGTCTGCTGAGAAGACAGTTTATGTATATCTAAATCTAATGAGCTGCATATTGTCATCGAGACTAACACTGGCTTGGATAGGCATATAAATTGAGGATTTGTGAAGATTTTGCCAAATTGTGAGGGATGACAAATTCCTGATAACACAGTGGTTACAGTTTGGACTGCTAATTGGAAGGTTGATGGTTCAAACCCACCAGCTGCTCCATGAGAGAACGCTGTGGCTGCCTGCTTCCATAAAGATTTACAATCTTGGAAGCCCTGTGCAGTTGTACTCTGTTTTACAGGCTCGCTATGAGTCAGAATTGAATTGACACAATGAGTTTATTTGTCTAGCAAAACTTTATTTGGCTCAACTAAAACAGACATTTTGAGTTGCCTAATTCTTAGTTGTAGGGGCTGTTCTGTGTAGTATAGAAGGTATAGCAGAATCTCTGGTCTCTATCTGCTAGATACTGGTGACACTCTTACTCCAAGTAGTGACGCCAAAAATGTTTCTAGACCTTGCCAAATGTGTTTCCCCACAATGCAGAATTGCCCCCACTGAAAATTACAGCCTACTCTATGGCCTCCTTTTGTCCCGTGGTGGTGTGCCCCCGAGTTAGTTTACTCACAGCAACCTTGCATAGGATTTCCGAGGCTATAAATCTTTATGGGAACAGAAAGCCTCATCTTTCTCCCATGGAGCTACTGGTAGATTCGAACTGCTGACCTTGTGGTTAGCAGCCTGGCTCATATAATTCACTGTGCAACCAGTGCTCCTTCCTTCTGCATTGTGGAGGAGTATAATGGAATAGACATTGTTTTAGATTCCTAAGCAGAATAATTTCAGTAAAGGACTTGTGACTCAATCTAGTGTTTAGTAGTTTGCTTCGTCTTAATTTAATATGTGCAGAGATAGATTTCATATAATTTAATTTTTAATGAATTACGTGTTTTGAATGTCCAGATTTTTTTTTAAACTTTTAGGGTCTCAGTACCGGTGTCATCCTTTTAGAAGCGACCTTGTTCTTCCTTTCCTTCCTAGAGCTCAGGAAGAGAAGACTGTGGTGAGACAGGATAACAGAGGTAGGGGCATTGACAGACATGGCAAAGACCACCTAGTACATACTGTACCACCGAACTTGAAAAACAAAGCCGACATGCATTAGTAAGCTTTATTAGTGCCAGCTGTGCCTTACTGGAACCATGAATTCCCCGTAGTCCTGTTGAACAGCACAGCTAACTAATTCAGTGCATGCATTGAGTTCAGAAATTACTTTTCCAGGTTTGAGGTCAATATTGGGTGATTATGCATAGTCTGCGGTGCCTTGTGATTGGGAAAATGTCTCTTTGCTTTTTTAAAAAAGATTGAAGTTGCAGTATATATTGCAGTAGTTTTGTCTTCACAAAATTCTTGTCTTTCAAAGAGGAGCTACAGATAGCTATCATTTTTTATTAAATGTTTCTAAATACAGATAAGAAATTTTTTGTCTAATGAAAGTGGGACTGCTAATTTGAGCCATAGTCTCTTCTGGATTTGTATTCTGAAACATCTCTTATGAACAGTTTCAGCAGCTCAAGATAATTTAGAGAGCCAAGAAACACTGACCATGGGTAGAATATAAGAGCAGTATGGCTGCACCACACCAATTGGGAGATGCTGTTTACCCTCCTCTCTGAGGCACTTCCTGCCAGCTTTACCTGCCCCCTTTTGCCCTAGATACCACGGATGATGCTGTGAGTAGCAAGGAACTTCAGTCTTTATTCTCAGGATGGGACAATCCAGTATTTGCTCGCTATCCAGAGGTGGGTCTGCAGCAATTTTTCTTTGCCTGCTGTTTAAAACTTGAATTTCATTTTAGTTGAATATGGGCATGAATGACTATACTAATTTGTAGTTATGCATGGAAACTGGGCATGTTTTCAAACAACTTTCTTTGGAAATTAAATATTTAATGTGGAGAAGTAGCATCAAAATTCATAGCAGTTTGGATCAAACAATCAGACAATCAGTGTGTGAACCACTGTGAGAACCCTGACTCAACTTTGGCAAAGTGTTCTGGGCGGTGACTCTCCTCTGGAGCAACAGCTCATCGTTGGGCTGGGTATGTGTCCTCTCCTCTGTGTGCATGTGATCACAGAACGTACTGTGTGTGGTGTAATGAGGGTGACTGTATAATAAATGAACATTTGGTTACTGACCTTCAGTTACACTGGTTATGAGGACATGAACTTGGAACCCAGTTAAATTGTTGTTATGAACTAATATTGGTCGTTGTTAGTAATTTTATTTAGCAGGAGCAATTGTTATTGTTAGGTGCTGTCAAGAAAATTCCCACTCAGTGCACCGTATGCACAACAGAACAAAACACTACTCAGTCCTCTGCCATCCTCACAATTGTTATGTTTGAGTCCATTGTTGTCACTGTGTCAGTCTGTCTAGTTTAGAATCTTCCTCTTTTTTGCTGACCCTCCACTTTACTAAGGATGATGTCCTTCTCCAGGGACTGGTCTTCCTGACAACATGTCCAAAGTATGAGAGATGAAACCTTGCCATCATTGCTTCCAAGGAGAAATACAGCCATGTTGTTGTTTTAAGTGCTGTCAAGTTGGTTCCAACTCATAGCAACTTATAAGTTTTCCTTGGAACACCTGGTGGATTTGAACCAGTGACCTTGGATTAGTAGTCCAGTGCTTATCCAGCAGTGCCACACCAGGATTCCCTTCTTCCAAAACGATTTGTTCCTTCTTCTGGCAGTCCAGCATTCTTCCCCAATACCACAATTTAAATGCACCAATTCTTCTTCTGTCTTTTTATATTCATTATCCAGCTTTCATGTGCATATGAGATGACTGAAAATACATTGCCTTGAGTCTGACATACCTTAGTCCTCAAACTGATATCTTTAATCGTTAACACTTTACAGAGGTCTTTTGCAGCAGCAGATTTGCCTAATGCAAAACTTAATTTGATTTCTTAACTGCTGCTTCTAGGGATGTTGTATCCAAGTAAAATGAAATCTTTGACAACTTCAGTCTTTCTCCATTTATCATAATGTTATTTACTTGCCCAGTTGTGAGGATTTTTGTTTTCTTTACAGTGAGGTACAATCCATTCTGACCTTCATCAGTAAGTGATTCAAACCCTCTTTGCTTCTAGCAACAAGGTTGTGTCATCTGCGTATCGCAGGCATTGATGAGTTTCCTCCAATCGTGATGCCATATTCTTCATATAATCCAGTTTTTAAATTATTTGCTGAATATACAGATTTAATAAATATGGTAAAGTATACAACATTGACATACACCTTTCCTGATTTTAAATCACTCAGTATCCATTGTCTCTTGATCTGTGTACAGGTTCTGCATGAGCATAATTAAGTATTCTGGAATACCCAGTTTTTGCAGTGCTACCCCCATAGTCCTTTATGATCCACACAGTAGAATGCCTTTTCCCAGTCAACAAAACACAGGTAAACATCTTTCTGGTATTCTCTGTTTTCAGCCAAGGTCCATGTGACGTCAGCAGTGATAGCCACTTCCTCTTCTGAATTTGGCAGCTCCCTGTTGATGTACCGCTGCCACTATTTTTAAATTACCTTCAACAGAATTTCACTTACAATGTAATATTAATAATATTGTTTGTTGATTGCTACATTCTATTGGGTCACCTTTCTTTGGAATGGGCACAAGTATGTATGCATCTCTTCCAATTGGTTAGTCAAATTTCTTGGCTTACATGAGTGAGGACCTCCAGTGTTGCATCAGTTTGTTGAAACATTTCAGTAGGCATTCCATCAGTTCCTGGTACTTTGTTTTTCACCGGTGCCTTCAGTTCAACTTGGACCTCTTCCTTCAATACCATCAGTTCTTGATCATATGCTACCCCATGGACCAATTCTTTTTGATACCCTGACTATATATTCCTCTGTCTTCTTTTGATGCTTCCTGTGTTATTCAACATTTGCCCATGGAATCCTTCAGTAAAGTCAAGGCTTGAATGTTTTCTTCAGCTCTTTCAGCTTGAGAAATGCTGAGCATGTTCTTCCCTTTTGGTTTTCTAACTCCAGGTCTTTGTACATTTCTTTTTCTACTTTTTATTATTTGAACATTTCATTATAATACCTGACTTTATCTTCTCTAGATGTTAAACTTTTCTGCTCAGCTCTTTTACTTCATTTTTTCCATTTGCTGTAGCATCTCTGTGCTGGAGAGCAAGTTTCTCTTCTGACATCCATTTTGGTGTTTTCTTTCTTTCCTGTCTCTTAAATGGCCTTTTGCTTTCTTTGTGTGTGATGTTTATTTATTATGAAGGTCATATTTTGACTCTTTTGGACTTGATTTAATTTTCTTCAACTTCAACCTCCTGACCTTGTTTTAGCTGATGATTTTGAGCTTCTCCATCATCTCTTCCCATAGAGGTAGTAGATTTAATTTCTGTGTGTTCCATCTGGTGCGGTCTATGTATATAGTCCACCTTTATATTGTTGCAAAAGGTATTTGCAGTGAATAATTTGTTGGTCTAGCAAAATCCTGTTATGCCCTCTCCAGCAGTGTTTCATTCTATGGTGCATAGGGTTACTGTAGGTCGGAATCAACTGGATGGCACCTAACAATAACATCATCAAAACTGTTTTCCAACTACATATAATTCCTCTTTGTTTCCAATTTTCGCGTTCCAATCTCCAGTAATTATCAATGCATCTTGATTGCATGTTTGATCAATTTCAGACTGAAGAAGCTGGTTGTTGTTGTTAAGGGCCCTCAACTTGGTTCCAGCTCACAGCAACCCTGTATAGTGTTTCCAAGAAGCGGTTGGTGAATTTGAACCACCGACCTTGTGGTTTAAACTGACTTTGCAATCCGTAGTGATATATGTGTGCGTGTGTGCATGTATGTGTATATATTACATACACACACACGTAAAGATAGATAGATAGATAGATAGATAGATAGATAGATAGATAGATAGATAGATAGATAGATATAGATATATGTGGAGTCCTGATCTGGTGCTGTGGGTTAATAAGCTGGACTGCAAAGCTCACCAGTTGCTCCTTTGGAAACTCTATACAGGGTCGCCAAGGATCAGAACCGATTTGACGCCTCTTAACAACAACAAATAATATATATGTATATGTATGTAACAACAACAACATGTATAGTGATATATATATGACACAAATGCACTAGTACTTCATGTATTACCATGGAACACACAGTCTCATAGCGACCCTAAATAGTTTCCGAGGCTATAAATATTTGTATGAGACAGAAAGTCTCATCTTAATGGACTTGAACCACTGACCTGTGGTTTTCAGCTTAGTGTTTACCTTACAGAACCACTGTGCTCCCATATATTCACAGAGCCTTCTGAATTGTATGAGCTCCATGAATTCAGCCCACCTTCAGTAGGTTCTGTGAATATGAATGTTTTTAAAGTACTTTGAAACCTTTGGTATGATAGTTCTGTAGACATAAACAATTGAAATGTAAATGATCTTTGTTCTGGGTCTTTCTAGGTTGCAGTTGATGTAAGCAGTGGCCAGGCTCAGAGCTTAGCTGTGAAAATTCACAACATCTTGTATCCCTATCGTTTCACCAAAGAAATGATTCATTCAATGCAGGTAAAAGTTTACATTTTCAGAAAAAAATATAAAGCCTAAACTAGGCTAACTTTAGTGAAACTAGATTTATTCAGTGATACAGACCACCCTTGTCAATTGTTACATGTTTTGATAACGTTGTTGTTGTTGTTAGGTGCCATGGAGTCGGTACTGACTCATAGCGACCCTGTGCACAACAGAACGAAACACTGCCTGATCCTGGGCCAACCTCATAATTGTTGCTATGCTTGAGCCCATTGATGCTGCCTTTTTGCCAATCCATCTCGCTGGGGGTCTTCCTCTTTTTCTCTGACCCTCCACATTACCAAACATGATAGCCTTCTCCAGCAACTCATCCCTCCTTACTGAAGCGTTAATTATCAGAAGAAAAAGCAAGAGACTCAATTACAAAACAGAAATGCCCTTAGTAGTTTCAGCAGGCATGGAGGGATGGATTGTGTCTCATAATTTCAAGAAATGCTAGATATTTCTGCAGAAGATTATACATTGACTATATTTGCCAATAACTTAGAATTCAACAAAGTGCTTTAGAGACTTTGTCCTTAAATATGCAACAGTGCCCTTTTAAAATGACCCTATATTGTGTGAGACCACAGATGGCATGGCTTAAGAGACCCCAGATTTTGGAGTTCCATTAATATAAGGGACCCTTTGTCTCATCTGCTGTTTTACTTTGTGCTCTGGCTGTCACAGTCTCCTTGATTTCAATATGGAAACAAATGAGATGTTTGACAGATCCTGGTAAACTCCTAACCTGGCATTGACCTAGTACAGAGCAAGCAAGCAGTTGATCCAAAAATACACCCTGGGGCAGTGATGTAGACTCAGAAAACCTCATGTACCTGGCCATACAGGTACCACCAAGATCTAAAGAAAACACTTAGTGTTTTCATGGACTTGCTTCCCCAAATGATTTTCTTAGTTTTGCATAAATTTAAAAACTTGGTTTAGGCCTTATTAATAATTTCTCTGGTCATATTGGAGTCCTGGTGTGGCACTGTGGGATAAAGCACTGGACTATAAGGTCAGTTTAAATCACAAGATTAGTGGTTCAAACTCACCAGCTGCTTCTTGGAAACCCTATACAGGATTGCTATGAGTCAGAACCAGCTCAGTGGCACTTAACAACACCTGGTCATATTGCCTATTAATATTATTGTATTGAGCAATTTTCAGATGTATTACAATGTCATATATTGTTATTACTATTGTTGTTAAGTGCCACTGAATCGGCCCCAACTCATAGCGACACTGCATAGGGTTTCCGAGGAGGGGTTGGTGAATTTGAACTACCAACCTTCCAGTTGAAACTGACCTTGCTGCAGTCCATTGCATTATCCACTAGCGCCACAACAGGACTCGTAGATGCCTTTAATATCATCCTCTCTTAGTATGTTTTCTTATGTAGTCTCCCTCCTTAATGTCTTCTAATCATAATTGTTTGTCCATTCTTTTCTCGTTCCTAATGAGTCCCTCAGACTCCTCAAGCTTAGGGAGGAGTGTAACAATGTAAGACTAAAGAATGGATTAAAGATAATGTACAGTTTCCTCACTATGCAGATAAGCCTGGGCTGATTTTATTTAGTGTTGTGCCACTTATCTGACTGTCTGCCAGGTTCTTCAGCAAGTGGATAACAAATTTATTGCCTGTTTAATGAGCACCAAGACTGAAGAGAAGAGTGAAGCAGGTAAGAATGGAGGTTAGCCTCGATTAACAGTCAGCTGGCCTTCTGATACATATTTTTTTAAGATTATTTTTTAAAATGTTTTGTGAATTATGTGATAGTTTACATGGGAGAACATTAGCTTTACATTCATCCTATCTTATATTGTTTCATTGCCATGGTTACAATCCCCTCCATGCATCATCAATCAACCAAAGGGTATACCCTGCAAGCCTGTCACCCAGTAATCAGCACACAGCCCCTATCCTTCACTGGGTCTAGAGTCCCCAGCTGCTCCATCTCTCCACGTCATCATCTCTGCCTCCATCTCTGGTGTCACTGTTTCTCTGAGTAGGGTCCCGCATACTGCTTGTCTCCCTTGATGGTCCCAGGGACCTCCACTCCTGGACTGCAAAGTCAACCACTCCCCTCCTTTTGCTATAAAAGACTTACTTTTACAATTCCAACCCTCACAATCAGTCCTGATAGCAATTATTCACTATTGTACCACAAGAGTCCTATCCCCATTTCCTTTCATCAGCCCCACCCAGACAGACTGGATACTACTCAGTGGAGAGTCTACCTTCCTCTGCGCCCACTGGATCTAGGCTCCCTCTTGAAAGCTTGTAAGTCAGTCATTACTTGCCTTTGTATTTAGGGTAGCAAATGTCCAACTTGCCCATCCCTGTCTACCCTGGGTACTGAATGATCCTCGCTGTAAAGATTTGTTCCCTCTTTTTTTGAGCTTCTGCATCCATAGGTGTAGGTCAAGTTCATCGACTTGTATTAGATTACTCCTTTTTTCCTCTTCTTTCTTCTTCTAGTTGAGCTCTGATCATCCAGTCATTGAAGCCAGGTCAAGTGGGTATTATCTGCAAGTGTGGGTGTTCT